TTTCCCTCCCATTGCAGAGACAATGCCTGGAAGCAAAATCTATCAGTGTCTCTGGGCCAAGAGAAATGGCCATTACTCTTCCCCACAACGTGAACACACACATAAACCCACTCTCAAGTTCACACATACATGCACATACACTCATACACACACGCGCGCACACACACACACACACACACACACACACACACAGGCTCCCAGTGAAGACTGCTAATCAGGGGCATAATTACATGGGAATGGAAAGTAGCAGCTCCGTAAGTAAAGTTTGAAGGGTGGGGACCTTCCCAAACCTCTCATCTGGCACTTCCTAAAGAAGCAAGGAGAACTACATCAGGCTCTGACAATGGTGACACCACAGGTCTGAAAGGTAGACTCACTGGGGCTCCTACTGGGGTTCTAGACCACCTCTTGTCTTCATCCAAGCCCAGAATCAATTCTGAGGAAGACACAGAAGCCTATTGCAATGGAGATCAAAATACCAATGTCACTGTTGTTAACGTTGTCTGGAGACTACGGCATAGGTGAGAAGACTGAATGAGCTGGGCAGAACTCTCCTGGAGCAAGCTGACTCCCCCAGACCACAGGCCTCCTCTGCTAGGCTCACCACACAATGCAAAGACAGCCTGGAATGTGTGCTCTGCAGGCAAGCAGTTCCTGTCAGGTTACTCTTCCCAGACTCAGCAATCAGATCAGTCATTCTGGTCCCCATCAAGAGGAAGGAGAAAGGGATGGGGCTGGGAGCCAGGAGTACTTCTCCTAGGATATCTGTCTACATCGACATGTGGAGAATGGGAAGCTAGTGTTCTCAGCCACAGGTCCCTCAAGCATTCTTCTCTGCACACACTTCAGAGGACACGGCCGTCAGCCAGGGGCACACTCCAATGGCACTGAGTGTGAGAGGCTTATAAGACGCACAGGAGACATTCGAGGAGAGTGCACTGGGTGGCTGTGTCCTCCTCCTCTTTCCTTCCTCACTCCCCCCTTTCTGAGACTCCGGATCGCACTGGGATGGATTGAGATCGACAAACCTGAACGTGTTTTGGTTTGAGGTTTGGCAAACTCTGTAATGCCAAAGTATTCCACAAATGTTTTGTGTTCTGCAAAACCAGAAAACATTGGCCAAGCACTTTCCCCCCCTAATTTTTAAGCCCATGTGTTTTTAAAGGAAATGTAATCCGTATGTTTTGGGTACATTTTTTTGCAACTCATCAAACCATGCTCATCTGCATGAGCCACTTGATGTCTCAGATGCATGAGGAAGATCTTAGATGTGTAAGAACTCGGTTAGCACAGAAGAGGTGCTGGCTGGAAGGTGGTAAACTTGGTCCTGATGCTGGCACAGAACAACCAGTTCCCAGAAGATTTGCAAATAATTCTTTAGATCCTCATCCATCAATCTTTCCCATCTGCAAAAGGGCATTTATAATTCTTGCCTCATCAGATCCTGTGGGCAACTAGTGAAAATTAAAGTGTGATTATCAGGCAATTTTGAGATTTCTAAAGAGATAAAATACAAGAGCCCCTGTACTTTCCCTAACAAATTTATTTTAATCCAGCTTCCCAGAGCACCGGAGGATAAAAATGCTTTCTACCTTTAATAATTCATTCATGCTCCATCGTGAGACATGGAACTTCAGTGTCATTATATCACAGCTTCACCTGCCAGGGAACTTCAGCCTGGCTTCTTGTCCTCTGCTAGGGAATCCTTTGTTTACAGGGGATAGAAAATGGATGATGAAGTCATGGGGATTAGTCTACAAAGACAGGCTGAGAATACACAGGTTGTTTTATTCCGAAAGGCAAAGACTCTACATGACTTAGTAGTGTTTATAAGTAAATGAAGAGCTTTTAGAGGAAGGGGTCTGTTCTCAATATCCGTTGAAGATAAAATAAGTCAAGAGTAAACTGTTAGAATACAAAATGCACAGGCTTTGAAGTCAGGCAGACTTAGGTTTTAATCCCTGCTCCAGCTTTACTGTGTGACAGTAGGAGAGATGCTTAACCTCTCTGAGCCTTGGTTTCCTCATTTGTAAAATGCAGCTGTTTTGAAGATTACAGAGAGCATAAGCAAAGGGTCCAGAACACAGTAAGTGTTCAATCACAGTTAACTGATGTAATTACTAGTAGTACTTAAAGGTGCCTGCAGGTTTTGATGGGGCATAATGAAAAATTCCCATGCTATAGGAAAAAATAAATAAATAAAAGCATTGAAATGGGCTAACGAGGATCCACAGTTCTGCTTTCCCAGAGCCCTTATGAAGAAGAGAAGCCTACTAGGAAGGACAGACAAATAACTGTCTGCCCTGAGAAATAAGACATTCATCAGCCTCCAAGCAGGCAAAGGCCAGGGCCAAATGATATGCCAAGGTCCCATCTAGCCTGATGAGGAGACAGGGGGACCTCAGCACTTGAACTGAGATGTCACCACAACTTCCTAACCAGTGGCAAATCCTTCAACATGTAATGGTCTTTTTCTCAAGGTTAAAGAGTGGCTCTAATTCCTATAGCATAGATATAACGCTGATCAACACAGCTTATCTCTCCCAATTTTCTGTTCTAAGTCATGCCTCTGCACCTCCATTCTCGTACAACTCAGTCACATTCATGAGCAGAGGCTATGCTTTGTAGCCCTAGGGCCTCTTTGATGTTGCACAAACACGCCTGGCACCTGTCTATCTTTGCACTTGCTGTCTTCTCTGCCTGCAATACATACCTGGAAGCTTTCTTTGTATCATTCATGGCATCTTATCAGAGAGATTATCCCTGTTTACCTTATAAAAGTGGCTCCCACTCTCACCCTACCTCTTAACCTGATTTATTTTTCTTCTTAGCATTTATCAATAATTGACATATATATTTCTTGATACCTATGCAATATAGACAACAAACGGTCAAAGTACATCCAGATGGCAATTTCCAAGGACAGGGTGTTTGTTAATAGAAAAGCACTTATTAAGTAATCAAATTTAATCTTAGAAAAAGTAACCAAAAACTCCAAAAAGAAAGACTGCAATGGGAAAAAAAAGCAAAGAAAATAAAACAATATTTCAAGTGCCAATAAGAAAACAAACAAATACTAAATGCTACCGGAGATACAGAAGGAAGGTAAAAGAAGTAAGTAATTGAATAACTAAGGTCAATAGGTTTGGCCCCTGTGGACAGACAGTTGTGTCTAGAACAGAATTTCTTAACTTTTTGGACCTTTTTGAAAATATGAAGAAAGCAATAGATCTCTTCCCAGAAAAACACGCACCTACTCATCCACACACAATTTTACTTACAATATCAGGGAGCTCACAGAACCCCTCAAATCCACCCATGGGTTCCAAGCTAAAGATCTTAATGCCCTCACCACACATGGCCTACCTCCAGAAATAGCATATCATGAACGTCCTGCCCCAAGGAATCACCACCAAGGAAGGTCTAGCACTTTCTTTATGAAAGGCCAGCTTCTATTTTCTACTTTCTTATGACTAACAAGGTCCTCAGTAAGCCCAAAGTGCAGAGCCTGCAAAAGGAGGCAACATGAAATAGCTCACAGGCACATTCTGACCTGGACACGGACTATTAGCTAATGGAAACGAAGAGGATGGCCCATCTGCAACAGAAGGAATAGATATTCATTCTTCGCTGGCTAAATTTTAAAAATAAAGGCCTTTGTCTCTTTTAAACAAAGAATCATGGAACAGGAGAACATTTGGCTTGGAGCCCATATGTCTGAGTTCTAGTGTGCTCTACCACTAAATAATAGTTGCTTGACCTAAAACATATTGCTCCATTTGTTATCTGCGAATTGGAAGTTTAAGTGAATTTTACGTTACTCAATCGATGTGACCTTAAAAAATTCTGAGGTAAATAAAATTTTATAGAAATCTAAATGTACTTTAAATATACAATGTGTTTAATAAAGGAGTGATTCATAAATCATTTTGTGAAGGAAATTATTACCATGACTGATTATTAGCATAAATCTGGGTTCTAATATAATGCATTACACATTTCATGAAGTGGTTCTAAACAAAAGTTTTTGGGTTATTCAAAAACCCTTGCAAAGAGAATACCAAAGATAACTCCAGACAATCCGTCATTCAGATGTAGATAGATGCCCCCAAATTATGAAGAAACATCTGATCATTCAATAGTTTTTGCAAAGCCTGTGCACTTCGTGAGACAGACGTGTCACGTTTGCCGATTCAATATTGTCTATATAAGATGAAAATTTCTGACTAAATAACCTTAGATACAGCTGGCTTCCCTAGCCATTTCAGTTCTCTCCTAGCTTTCTATGAATAACAGATTTTAATTTTATATAGGAAAAGTGAGATCAAATTTAGAGAGAAGAAAGGATTATCAACCAGAAAAACAACATGAGGCCATTTATGGCAGGAGTAAATAGTCCTACAAATGTCAGCCATTCCTAAGAGTTTCACTCTACCACAACCTAGTTCATCAAGAAAGTGGTGCTCTATAAACTGCCTTTACTAAAGCAGGAAACATCTAATGTATTTTGGAACTATTTCCTAGGAGAAAAATGGTTAAATTTTTTTTTCATGAAGCTCTTAATGGTAGTAATTTTCTGAAAAATTTTATTTGTCCATAACTCCTTATTTCCTGATAATGCAAAACATATATCACTGCAGGTGTTATAGCCACCTATAAGTGCTTATCAGAAAGAGATAGCAATCTTTTGATGATAATAAATTACCATAAAATTTGTTTTAAGTGACTGAATTACCAAGTATGATATAGGGAGGAAAACAGCATGAGGAATTTGATCTGGTGATTTAGATTGTGTTAACAAAGAATTTGGAAAATTCGGCCTTTGGGGCAGGCAGGTTTTTTGGTTCTTGGATCAGCTATCCATTTCTCTTTGCCTAAGTCAACATAGTGGCAGAGTATGCAGGTGTCTTCCAAAAATCAGGAGCCAGGAGCCACCAGTAGAATGTGGGGAAAGTAATGTCACATAGAAGAGAAATGTCAGCTTCCCCCATTATTCTTACCTGTTTCTCCCAGAATCTCTGAATCCTTTAGCAAAGGGGTTTCGGTCAATTTTTAATCTGGTGATCTAGAAACAAACAAATAAGTATGAATTGTTTTTATATTAACTGATTTCTTTTATTATTACTCCTGGAAAATTAACAAAAAATCACTCTGTTAATAACAGCTGTTGTTTTCATTTAGTTTCTGTTTAGTTTGAGATTTAAGTTAAAGCTTGATATACAACCTGGCCTAGCACACAGATGTCTGACCGACCAAACTCAGTTCTCTATAAAAACCAAAGTTGCCCAGTATGTGACTCTGTAAACTCTCTTCTACTCACCTTCCTTGCCCCAAAGTCGTGATAAATCACTTGCCTAGACAGACATTGACATGGAAAACTGGGCAACGGTCAGGTCCACAGTATGTGACACACATGAGGCACTTAAAAAATGCTTGTTAAATGAATGAGTAAATGAATGGTGAGCAAATGAGTGAATAATGAATGAATGGAATCAATTCAATCAGGTGGAATCAGACTACCAGACAATATGCCCCAGCCTGAAAGACCCAAATAATTGACTGCATTTTCCATTTCTCTTAAGTCATCCCTTGCCTGCCACTAGGAATTGTTCATTTAATGACCTGAAATGTTCATGCAAAAGACAGAAAAAGTAGCTAGACTTTTGCCGGGGTTTTACCCACAGGAAAGCCTACAAATGTGAAACCGAACAGGGCAGGATACAGCACATCTCATCCAATCTCCAGGACTCACACGCAAATCTGAAGAAACAAGACAGCTTCACAAGGCTGGGCAAACCCAGCACATCCAGCTGTGTCACCCAGGTTGGGGCCATCTGGTTCAACCTCCACTCAATGCATAAGGCCCCTTCCATTACATCTGATCTTAGTCCCAGCAAACCCAGCCATGGTTGTGTACATTAGTCTCATGCCTCTAGACTAGAACAAGCCTGACCAACATATTCCATATGCACTCTCCTGTTTTCACTCTTAGCCTTGGTCATGGGAGGCATTCTGATACCTTTGTGTCCAAACCGGAAGTTTATGACTCAACTCGCTACATTCAAACAATAGAGACTTAAGGGCGGGGGCTAGGAAGTTCAGGAAAGAAGGAAGGGTACTCTCAATGAAGGTTAATTCTAGAAGTAAAGAAATCTCATTATTTAAGATGATCATCATATTTCTGACAAATGCAGAACTTATCACTAAGACAGCTAAAGTTATTTCCTATGCATGTTGCAAATCTTTCCTAGTCTCTCTTCTGCCTCATTTCATCAGAGTGGAATTTCCCAAAGCCACAGTCTTTAAATGTCTTTAAAATGCAATGTGAGATTCTGACAAACAGACTCTGACTTGAAAGAACCATGCTGGCTTCAAGGTTATTTTTCTCCGTGAACATTCCTTGCCTTTAGAATGGCACACTAATAATGTAGCACTAATAATGTAGCAAAAGCAATTTTACATGTATTTTATAGACCAGAGCAGGAGCCTAAAGGTTTGGCTTTCTAAAGTCCAATGTCTGCCATGTGAAATTGTATTGAGTTTAAAGAGTGTCACTGCTTTTCTGTGCTTGACTTAAAATCAGTTCCTTCTTCCTCCATAATCCACAGCAATAAACCACACACCATATTTTCTTTTCAAGTTGGGGTTATAATATTTTATTTTCTCTTTCAAGTTGGCTTATCCTGTCCAACTCATTTATGATAGGGGTTTCTGATATATGATTGTGCTGCCATGTTTTGGGGGTCTCCACAGACCCCCGTAAATACAGCAACACTCTACTTCATGGCCCAGGGAGAAATGGTTGAAAACTTATTTCCCACACCTTATTGGATCCCAAACCAAGGGGTCTGCGCAGAAATTTAATAGACAAATGCCATCAAATGTTAGGAAAAATAATACCTCTACACTTGTTTCAAAGCTTTTAATGTGAGATTTAGAGAGCTTTATGAAGAGTGTGGTTGTGCCACTCATTATTTACTACCTAGTGCCTTTTGTGTGCAAAGCAGCGTGACAGGCAACACAGGTGATGCAGAGTAGTGTACGGTCAATGTGTGGCTATGTACCAACCATCTCTTCCCCCAAGAAGCTGATCATCTAGAAGAAGAAGCAGACCTATACACTAATCATTACAGAAGATGACGAGGTTTACAATAAAGCCAAATTACCATGAGAGATTAAAGGAAGTAGCAGTTACTTCAAGTTGAAGGGCTCTGAAGTTTCCCATTAGAGGTAGCATGTGAGCCAGGCCTTGAAGATTGTATAGTATTTTAATGAAAAATACAAGAGGGGGAAAAAGGGACAAGGGAAGCATTTCATAACAAAGGTTTCATAAGAAAGGCTATGAAAGCCAGAACATCAAAGTGGGAAATAGTGATATATATTTGAAAAACATTGAGTAGGCCAGTTGGACCAGAGCTATGGGGAAAGAAGCAATGAGAGAAAGCTAGAGAGGCCGGTTTGAGGTCACTTCATAGAAAGCCCTTATTAACCCGCTCAGGCATTTAGATTACTCAATAGGCAGAAGACAGCAATTTTAGCTATATAAACCAAATTATGATCTCAGTTAATGCTTGTGCTGACAACTTTGGCTATGTCTACAAATACCAAGGGTAACAAGACAATTTTTGGAAGACTAAGCCAATTTATTTTTAACCTCGATAATCTTTAGTTTTGGCCCATGTCTCCCCTATCAAGAGGCAGCCTGGCTGACTCAGATCTGACAAGTGTCTTCCATAGCATGGAAAGGAATGTAAATGGTAGCTGGACCATAAGGCTTGCCATCCTATGGAAGACAAGGGTATGATGTAAGGTGAATTCTCATCACATAGAAAAAAGAAGTTAAAAAGCATCCCCTTCACAAACTCTGGGAAGTAGGAGAAAAGAAGAGACAGACAAAGGGGAAGCAAACAGTTAGATTTCATGAGCCTTAGCTCCCCCATTCAAACCAAAAGCCAGGGGTGGGAGTGGACAGAGTCAGAGGAAACTGGCAGGGTGACCTCCTTACATTCATGGGGATGGCTGTATCACAGTACAAATACCACCTGATCTGATTAAGCAGGAAGAGGCCTGAGTTTGTATTTCCAGGCCTCCCATGGCCCTTCCATGGTGGCTAAGGGACTCAGAAGTCCTCACAAGCTGTAAAGGAGGAGGCAAGGTGACCGTGACACAGACGAGCTACAGCCTTGCCTGGAGGCAAATGGAGGAACTGAGTGAGACCTGAGGTGAGGCTGAGTCAGCCAAAAAGACCCATGAGGGTGCTCACATGGTAGTAATACTCACTGGGTGCTGGTCAGATGGGGGTGTGGGGGGATGGGGGGTAGAGTGGGTGGGGTGGGTAAACCCACAGCTAATGGAGACAGGGCGCACTGTATGGGGGAAGGACACATTCGTGGCCCTGGCTTGAGAGAGGCAAATGCATTTCATGTAACCAAAGTGTTTGTACCCTCATAATATCCTGAATTAAAAAAAATAAAAAAATAAATTAATTAATTAAATTAAATTAATGCAAAAAAAAAAAAAAAAAAGACCCACGAGGCCAGAAAACAAAGCACAATTTCAGCTGTCTCTTTCTTTTTTTTAAATTTATTTTAGGATATTATGGGGGTACAAATATCTTGGTTACATGTTATGACTTTGCCACACCCAAATCATGATATGAGGCATGCCTTTTCCCCCCTACAACACTCACCGTGACCATTAGTTGTGAGTTTACCCACCCCCAACCCCCCAATCCCTGAAGAGTATTACTATTGTGTGAGCACCATAGTGTTGATCATCTTATCGGGAGAGCATATCAGCACCAGGGACTCGCATACAGACCAGACCAGATGCCCCACAGCGGAGGCCAGTGAGCCCAGAAAACAGCACAGGGACGCCACAAGCAACCATGAGGAAGTAACATAAACCTCTCCTCCTCCACGCCTGCATATGCACTGTGCATCTAGAGGCCATGGGGTAGAGCGAGGGAGTGGGCAAAAGACAATAACTAAACATTTACCCAAAGTAAATCAAGGTACATGAAGGGATATTTAAGCCAAAATAGAAAGTTTACATTTCAACCTATCCTTCCCCAATACAGGGGCGAGGGCTTTTTAGGAAAATCAGCTATAGAAAATTTTATGTATGTGTGTGTTACATATATATATATTTACATAATATATATAACACATTTGAGTAGTTAACTTTCAACCTTATTCCACAGTTATGTTTATCAGTTAGACCCAAATATGGCTATCTCCACCTCCCTGACCTTAGACCAGATCACTGTCACCTCTTGACTAAACTACTCTAAATGGTCTTTTGCTGTTGTCCCTGTCCAATCTCTTTTCTACACAGCAGCCCAAGTGGCCTTTGTTAACATATAACTGGATCATGTCATTCTCTTTAGTGGCTACCACTGCTCAGAATTCAATCCAAGCTCCTCACCCAGCCTTGCAGGCCCCATGTGCCCTGGCTCCAGCCCACCTCTCCAATCTGACCCACACTTCTCGCCCTGGTCTACAGCCTCCAGCCTAACCGAGCTGCTCCCAGTGCTGGAATGAGCCAAGCTCTTTCTACACTCAGGCCCCTCATATTTTCTCTACACTCAGATAAAAAAAATGCTCTTTTCTCTACTTTTCACATAGTGGACTCTTTGTCCTAAGTCTCACATTATCTCCCGAGAGAGATCTTCCCTGATCATGTCTCCAAAATAGGATACTTCTGCTACTTTCTTTAAATGCACCCACTTTAATTCTATCTTTGCTCTGAACTCAATTAAGTTAATTAACTTAATTATCAATATATGTCCTGTTGGTTATTATACATTTATTTTTTATTTACATATTTACCGTCTGTATCTCTCCCTCAGTGGGTAGGAACCATGTCTATTTTACACACCATTTAATTCAGCAGAATCTGGTATGACATGCTATTTGTGCTCAATGAGTATTTGTTCAATGAGTGAGTGAATGAATAAATGATAATGTGGGAATCAGGGATCACCAGTCCAAAATCCATGACAAGCTTTAGAGAACTCAGACCAGACAACTCTCTCAATTCTATTTGCTTTCACTGCAGGCGTCA